TACTCCGATTTGCGTTTATAATAAACTCGGATATGAAAAGTCTTTCTTATGTTTACGGGTGCTCATTTACATGCTGATTTAATGATTTACAGGTGTCCATTTATTCGAGGAATACGAAGAATGGTGTGGAACGTAAATATATAAGAGGCATGAAATCACGATTTCGTTTCTGTGTCCGATAGTTGATGCGTCGTAAATTTTCCGACGGTATTTCACTGTATATATATTTAGAAACTATTTCTTTTAAGCTAAGATAATATTCTAACTTCGGTTCAGTGAATGGAACAATTGAATCACTAAGAAACTTGTTAACATTTAATAGAACATGTTCTATTATATTCTTTATAAAATTCTGTAAATTATTATTTAACAAAAACTACGTTAGGTGGGTCAGGGACGCTCCACAGTAATACTAAAATAATTTTCATTAATTGTTTTTGTTTATAAATATTTATTTTCTTTAGGAAATCCATTCTGCCCCTCGAGCGATTCGAATTCCGCGCTGCTCCCGCCGCTAGTACGCTGCGTGGCCGGAGAGGGCAGTGCGGACCAGGTGCAAGCCATCGATGGAGTCCAGTGTCGATGTACGAAACAGTACGAAACTGTACGAAACCGAAGGGCAACACAGGACAGCACAGGATGCGATCGTGTGCGATTGTGGTGCGTTCGCGCGACCTTGTCCGTGAGCAATCTACCAATTTAGCTCTGTGGTGTCTTGGACATACTTGGGTGTACTAGAGTTACAAGGCATACCCACATTGTTTATAGATCTGTTTATAAGAAAATAGACAAATTTTTATGAAATGTTATATTACTATATACAATAACAGTGTGTACAACTGTGTATTTTTATAACACCTAACTTTATACATTACTGAGGGATGTTGGAAACGATAAAAGTTACGTACATGTTAATGATTCATAGACTTTACAGTAATTGTACCAAAAATTAAAGACAATGTTATTATTAAGTCACTCTTTGCATTGCAACAGAACGCACGAGTTTCGATGAATCAAAACAATGGCATGTGTAGTGAAGCAAATCAAATACATAAGTTCAGCGACTACCAGGCAGAAAATCATTGGATTCATTGCCAAAATTAAAATACAACTTGTACTTTGTATATGATAAATAGTAGCAGATTCATGTCTACGGATACTTCCTAACTGAATACACCGTATCACATAACCTACAGAAAAGTACAGTCAGTTCCTTGGGCAGTAGAGTCATATCGTAAGACATAACGTACACATTTCTTTTGATTATAAAAGGATAAATTAAACTCAATAGTGTCCATGGAATAACATCAGAAGCATTATATGATTACGATAACTACATTACGGTAAATTGGCTTCTGATTAGCCAGTTCAGGCTTGGTACTTCATTACTTTTAGTTAACGTGCAGCAAAGAAAATGTTGCTTCCTTACATTATGAACTGTTCATAACAAGTAAACATTTTGAAATGTTACATTATGAACAGCAAATAACTTTTACAGAACCTTTTACATCACTTCCATTATTAATCTGGATTAAGATTCTTAAAATGCATGTTCATTTAAAATTTAAGTTACATCATAAGTGTCCGATCTTAACTAGACGTAATCACCACTCAACGTGCACTATCTAATTATTCTCAGAAACCGAGTTCGAAGTACGCGCGAAAGAGACCATAGTCAACCATGGTACCACACTTTTTTTGCTACTGGTATCCGCTGGCTAAATGCACATGAAAATGAAAGAGTACAATGCCTACAGGTCTCTAGTAATTTTCGTAACGCAGATCAGGACTCTACGTGTCCTTGCAATTGGCCAACCATTCTTCGAACCCAGCCAGCCTGACTTTGCCCTGCCGAAACATCATCCCTGTCTTCGTTTTCCAATGTCTTTCCCTCCTGACTTTGAGATTCTTCCATTGAGGATCGGTACGTCGCTTCGTGACATTCCACTAATTTAGCGACATTAGATGCCTCTTCTTGTGCGCATAAAATTTTCGCTCTTACCTTTAGATAATCAGGCTTTCTCGCTACGCTTGGTTTGATCTTTTGCCCGTCGCTCAAGCCGTTACTTGGCTCTGCAACAACTTCTGTTCTTTTTTTTGCAGGTACAGGAGGTGCGATCTTCCTGTTCCCACAAGGCGAAGGTGTATCTGACTTTTGAACAGGTGTGCTAGTTTGTGTACAAACTGCAAGCACCTCGTCGACGTCGCTAAATATTGCACTATCCCGAAAAGCGTCGTTGGTGTCGGTATCCACGTAGTTCTCTATTGACTCAAAAGACCTTTCATAGAAACCATCGGCTTCGATTTCCTGACGCTCGGACATAATCACTGCCTTGTCTTGCTCGGGTTCCGATTTTGGTGTGTTTCCAATAACTGCGGGCGAGAATTCGGATCTTTTGTCAACGAACAACGTAGTTGGATCCGCGTAATCGGACTGGGCGATCCGAGCACCGAGACCAGAACTACCTTGTTTGTAGTACAACGAAGGGATTCGCACGGATGAAGATCCTCCCGTTGCACACCCTACCACCTCTTCAACGTCCGACGAGGTCTCTCTCGACGACCTCAACTTATTCCTTTTCCTATATTTACCATGACTCGAAGAACGAAAGTGCTTTGTCCTCTCGAGTTCCTCGCTGCATTCGAGAGTTTCCGTGCTCACGGTTGTTCGTAGCCCCTGCAGTCTACTTCCAGCTTTGGACAGAACGTTCTTGAAAATGGTACTTCCATTCCCGTTGGCTCTGTAAATCTTATGATCGGGGTGGATGTTAGTCGAAGTAGAAGACACCTGCAGCTCGGAGTAGGCATCCGTCAGAGAGTCTTCCAAGGTGTAAAAGAAGGTCGACGTCGACGTGGAGTTACACGTAGGGAACTTAGCGATTCTACCTCCGGGCTGGCAAGAGGAAGCGTACCTTTCCATATCTTCTAAGTTGATTTCAGCCGGTTTGTCGGAAGCAATGGTGAACGGACGCTCGCTCATCGGCTTCCCGTCCCTCTGCAAGAATCTGGACTTCGTTATGTGAGGATGCGAGTTAGGATGAATTTGGAAACTTCGTGGCAAAGAGCCGCACTTTTGCGGCGACGTTGGTAACCCTTCGCACAGCTTGGTTAACCACACGGCAGGTCTGGTAGGGCTGTCGTTTCCATCCACGCCCTTTTCATCCTGCAAGCCATCCCAAACGTGTTGCAGATTATCGTAATTCCCGAAACCTTTCGATTCCTTCGCGTCTTCTGCATTGTTTTCCGGTTCTGTATTAATCGTCTTCGTTTCTTCCGGTTTGTTACCGGTATCGTTGGATGCCGGCTCCGGGGCAGTATCCTCGTTTCCAGACGTCGAGTTCTCTCTTATCCTCAAAGCAGTTTTGATGATCTTGCTATCGGTAACGATACTTTGCCTCTTGAAGGCCTCGAATAGCGCTCTTTTTTCGTGGACTCGGTTGTTTCTACTCTTCACGGCGGAGTCAGGGGATGCTTCCTTGTCGTTCTCCGTCCGAAGATTGTCGTAACGCAATCGCAACGAGGACTGATTGTCACGGGATGTGGGTGGCGTTAATGAGTTCCACGCGTTATTGACTCTGACCATTCTCTGTTCGCGACGAGCGGAACGAGCGCGACCATTTCTGTTATTGGCGGCCGATTCGGTCGCGTAATTGGAGCTTTCCGTGTCGCTCTCGTCCGAAGTATCCGCCGACATGTGCTTGATGAACCGCTGCTGTTGTCTGACGTTAATAATACTGTTGGTTCGCTGCTTCTCGAGAAGCTTTTGGAACTCTTGATTCTGCATAAGAATGTGACCGACGATTTGTTCCACGGTTTGTGCCTGCACTTGTTGCTCGTTATTGTCTTTGGTTTCTGTGGGTGAAAGACCGATGCCGTGCGAATTAACCGAGGAGTCGTCATCCTCGTTAGGCAATGGGCTGCAATCGGCTTCGACGGTTGTAGACTCGGTGTCTACGCTGTTCTCCTTATGCTCCTCGTCCGATTGATTTAAACACACGTAAGACTGGAAACCGGGCTCCGACTTTCTTCTCCAGTTAGTAAAACGGTCCTAGAAATTTATAGGATTAAATTATTTGTTCAGTAGAGGTCAGATATAAAATATATCTATTTTTGTAGGCACAATGTTAATATAAAAAACTTTATTTTACCAATTGTTTGTATTCAGCAATATATTACCTTAACTTTTGAGGCGCGTGCATCCAATGATCTGTTAAGACTTCGGTCTCTACTGCCGTGAATTGCATCTTCCGTTTGGTTTTTACGCGTTGACGAGGGTGAATGCTAAGGTGAACGTTAAAACATTTTAATTTAATAGTAACTTCTAACTCGGGTGATAAAACATCGTACGAAATTTGAAAAGTAATGTTTACCTCGGTGTCAGGCGCGTTGCTGTCACTCTTCCTTCCTTTCTTCAATTTTTGCCTCAGACCTGTTTCGGATCTTCGCCTCTCTCTGTCTTGCTTTCGTTTCTCTAAATATTCAGGCGGTGCCGAATGTTGCTTTTTCGCCAATCCCTTGTCCACCACGCCATCTTCTGCAGCATTGCATATCCACGCGTAAGAATTATTACTGTCCGAGGTTATTTCCTAAACATTAGTAACGATTAATACCTTCAGGAGGCGTTTGACCAAGTTGCATGACCAGTTGTCTAGCGTGGGACGGTATCACAGCATTGTAGTTTTCAAGAATTACCCTCTTAATTTGCAGGGTCCACTCTCTCTTTTGTTCCAAGTTTCGTGCCTTGAATCATAAAAAATGTATCATTAATCCGTTTTTAAAGTAGGGTTTAATTCTTGAATAAGTACAAGTTTTAATTACAATTAGATTAACATTACTATGGGTGGAGTGTAAAAATTAAATACTGGACTTAAAACTATCCCGATTCAACAATTGCTCATTTCTACAGACTCTAAGAGCATATGCATATGTGTATACTCTTTAGAATACTAAAATTACGACTCACCTATCCATGCATGCATGCTGGAACAGCGCATCGATAAGTTATCGCGATAAGTGCATTATCCGTGAAAAGGTATGCTTACCTGCAGAGTATATTGCAGCCGAGGATTGTCAAACGGAATCACGTGAAAACTAAGTGGTTCTCCCGGTATGCTCTCGATCAACATCAGATTTGAACACTGTTAAAAAAAAATATGCAAGTTTTAATCGTCTACCCATTGGCATTGCTGGCGAACTGCCGTTTTATTTTTTCATTTCTTGCGGAATCCACTATGACAACTGCATACCCCAATATGAGCTTTATAAACTAGAAGGCCATCTTCCTTCTTCTTCGTAAGAAGAAGCATCCGCTCGAACAGGAAAGCATGCCTTGGAGCTTTGGCACCTCGCATTCGGAATCTGCCTTCGGCAACCAGTTCCCCACTAGTGGTCAGATCTGGTCCACACCATCCATACAGAAGCGACTGAATCTCTTGGACGCGCACGGCGTGCTCGTGCCTCCTCTTCATGGCGTTGATGTGTTTCGCGATACCGGTCATGGTAGTCAGAGCACTCTCGATAGCGCTTCTACCTTCAGCCTCCTTTTCTCTCTCCACTGCGCCTGCACCATATTCCTTTGATAAGTTCTGCAAAAAGTTCCCCAAGTTACCGAATATGGAAGTGCACCGCGTTGGACGCCCGCGAGATTCCGCGATAACTATTAATACTAAGAGCGTTAATCGATATATCATAATTACTTGTAAGAGCAGATGGTACTTCAAGATTCTCTGTACAGGTTTCAGCAGAAATGACCCCAGAGGTAACGCATGGCCAAGAGCTGCTTGCCTTTCTCGGAAAGCGTTCGCTGTAACTTCTTGACCCATCAGATCGGTCAGTACGGAAACTGTCCTGAAATTGTCTGGATTAGTACACACGAGTAAACTGGAATCACGACTCGGATAGTGAGAGAAATAAGCCTCCCCTTGTTCACACCAGAAATGAAGTGCGCAAGATAACTCATGCCAGTGTAGCACATTATAGTATATTCCGTTCACGATTTCTTCCGAACTGATTCAATGCTTGTTAAATGTTGTATTTATGTGCTAATTTATACAGCACCTTGAATAAAATGAAACAAACGACAGCGACACAGATCACAAAACGTCATTAGATCGCAGTGCAATAAACTAGATACATGTAAAATATATAGCGAAATTAACTCATTGGCATGATAGAAAAAATAAATAAAATTGTTGTAATCGTTATAGTGAATAGAAAAATGACTCACCGAGGGTAATTGGTACAATATTCGGTGTACACTTTAAATCCCGAATTGTGCTTGATGAAAGTATTTGCCATGCAAATCGGATCCAAGCTGCAATTTTCTAATTCCTTCAGAAACTCCCTGGAAACGAAAAAAATCGTCTCTTGTATTTGAAACTATTTACGAGACGAGTAATCGACGAAAGAGGGAACTCACCTATTAAATTGGAATATATCTTCAATGTTGCTAAACAAATCGTTGAGTTGTAGGTGGTGCACCAAGGAGGCTGGATCGTCTCTCCAAAATATGAGATAACCCTGAAACAATGTTGGAATATTTATTCGTCCACTGTACCAGCCGGGGAGTCGTCTTATCTTCAACGGGGTAGGAAAACGTGGTGCAACGTGCCAAGCGAATCAAACCAGTTCCATTCCTGTATCATTACGATTGACTGCAAGGACAACCAACCGATAGGGTCGACTCTGCCTACACGTGGAGTAAAACTCGGTTTGCACATTGAGTCACGCTTTCACCTTCGTAACGTATATTCTTGGCAAACAACTCGATTGTGAACATCCTAATTAGCTCCGGGGAAAGATTAGCGAGGACCGAAAGAGTAGGAAGACGCGATGGCGTCGATCGAGAAAACTGATTGAAACCCGCGCCCGGCAGCCAAAGCCAAAGAGAATATCCTGAATCCCTGTCCGCTCCATTTCTATAAATAACAGCGGTTAATGGCACACAGAGGAGACATTCACTTGGTTACTAATTCTACTTCTCGCTAAATCACTCGCTCTTTAACCGCCACATTATCTATCAACGTGTATTACGTGTAATTATTTAGCCGGTTACATCTTGTAAATTATACGGTGATTCGAATGTATTACTTCCTGGTCCACACATTATCGTAAGTGCGTTTAATCTTTCGGTGATTGCACATAATGCCGTAGGTTGGAACACGAGGTGCCAAGAGTTAAAGGTCTAGCGCGAAATTTATCTACGTTCCTGCTAACGGTATCGTTATACGGATTATGAAAATTAAATATCGAAGCGGTGTAAGAATTTTTGTGACCCGTTGTACGAGCATTTCTTATTTCCCGTTTAACCTCGGCAATTCTTCGGTAATTTAATGATCATTTCATTTTCGTAGATTACCTGAATAACCTGGCGAAGGTGCTCCACGTATACCGCTTCAGTGTCCACGATCTCGAGAAGAACTCTTTCGACGGGATTGCGATGAGGATCGCAGTATCTTGGCCTGTTATACATAGGCGAATCTCCCTCGGCGCTATCTCTACATTGACTACCGCTGCCATCTCCCATTCGACAGCTTGCTTCTGACACGGTCACAACGCCGCTATCTCCAGACCCTAATAAGTATAGCAATCGCACGTTATTATTTGCCCGGCAATTAGTGTCTGCGCAATCTCAACCGCAATTATGAAAAATACTACGTGGAATTGCGTTTTAGTCAAGTGTCACTCTTACAGACATTGGATACGACTATTTGCGTGTATTTCCGAGGTACAGATGGAGTAAATCGGTTAACGATTCTTTAACACAATGCAGACATGAAAACTAATAAAAATAAATACATGGAAATACGTTTCTAACGATTCGCTCATTCGACGAGCCACTTTGAATTTCGAAACGTGGAACTTGGATTTGGAATCTGCGACCTCGCAAACCGTCGGAACAAATTCTGGCGCAAATATGTCGAGGAAGTCGATTAATGCGAATTGCACGCGCATCGTTGGCTGTTTCATCTCGTCGCGTCGTGCGGGTGGAATTGCATAAACTTCCGCTGCAACGACCCCGTGGTAGTAACCCTCGTATAAACCGTCCCATTAACGAATTGCTCCGGTACGAATACCCGACGTCTCCATAGACTAGAACGTTAGGGGGTAATCTCCTTGAATTTATATCCCTCCCGGTAAAAGATGTTCAACTAATAAATAATAAACCATGCTGGGTTACATTCTTGACAAAAATACTCATTTCCTATCCACGCGTAAACGTGAAACAATTGGCTTGAAAACATTAATCCTATGCCCTCAAGAGGCGGCTCTCAGTAGCCACTTGGTTTGGTGCATCAATTAGGCGAATGAGAGGCAACAATGACATTCATTTGACTAGGATAAACTTGAAAGCCTCGATTGCAACGGGCAATGCGCAAAATACAAAAAGAGCCTAGGTCCTCGAGTCGCTGGTTCCTCCACCAGAAAATACGTCGAGTGCAAAGGGTTAACTACTCCTTAGATCCCTGTTCCGGGTCGCAAAATCTCCAGCTTGAACATGTATTCTTATCATGATCACGATCAAGATCCTCATAAATGAATTTCTTTCCAGAGGAAATGAAATCCCGCAGGGGTTGCAGAACCAGAGCCGTCGATAAGGGGCGATCCAAAAGTTCGAGGTATCGAAGCGAGCGACTTCCCGAGGTCGGTCGGCGAGTTACCTTGGGAGCTGGCACAGGTGTCGGCGAGCGATTCGACGGAGGCCAAATAAGGATTGGCGGCGCACGCGTTTCCCTGATTGCTGCACCCACTGGAGGAGGTGCTGGAAGCGATGGAGCTCCCCGAGAGGGGCCTGCCGGTGGCCCTGCACCTTCTGGTGTACCCGAGGGGTGTCAGCCCATACACGGGCTTCTCCTCGGCGGCGTTCGCCAGCTGGCCATGGGCCACGGCGAGTTCTACCCCGCGGTCGTCCTTGTTCCCCGGCTTGTCGTCCTCCTCGCGAGTGGCCATTTCCGCGCGACTCGATTCCCGGGGTTTCGACTCCTCCGGTTTCCGCTCGCGGCGAGACTTGGCCAGGACCGATTCCGAGTCGCAGAGCGGCCCAAATATGGACCCGCGGTGGGAATGCGGGACCAGGCTGAGACGCTTCTGAATGGCCGCCGGTATGTTGCAGGTCGACGGCAGGACTACGTGCTCGCCGCACCCGCTGCCCCTACGCACCAGCTCGTCGAACATGCCCAGCAGCTGTGGCACCAGGTCCGTCGACGTACCTGAACAAAAGATAAAACAATTGGTTATTTTTCGCTGATTGCCTATGGAGTAATCTAGTCGAATATGTATACGGATTTTCAGGTTTTAACCAGATGCCGGACTCTTGGAACGCCGGCTAGGTGTACACGTTCGTGACTCGGAGTCCCGTTCAACGGTGGTGCACCGTACGCCGCGGCGAAAGGATTAAGGAAGACTTGAATCGAGGGCAAAATGCATGCCTTGTCCAAGTACCGTACCAGTTTCAAGGCTTAGAACTCGTACAAATTGTAGGGATGTAATCCAGTGTAAAAGAAATTCGAGGGTTCGATCATTTGGACGGAATCGCAATGCCAACATTGTGCGCGGAATTACGTGCCGTTTTCGTCTCGCTCACATACCCGCGAGTCCGATTCTCGTTACCCTCAAATTCCGAATGGGTATTCTCATTTACAAAGAAAACTAAACGCAATTCTACGTAAAAAAAACAAAGTATATTCTTTAATATTAAGGAGTCCACTAGGCCAAAGAAGAGCCATCGTTCGGTGGCACTAAAATGCTAATGAGGCTTCAACCTGGCGCTTTTGGGCGACAAAATGCGAGGAAAGAAACTAGAAAATGTCCCTCGCGCGCAGATTAAGACCCGGCTCTCTGAACTTGAGGATGTCGCGAGCGTCTCTCGGGGCTAAGGCCCGCGTCGCTGGGAAGTTAACTCGGCAAAGTCGGTTAACCAAACAGACAACCGAAGGTGGTTTCCAATTTCCTTGGCGGCGGACGTGAAATCGCGTCTGCTCTACACCGCGTTGCCGTGTCGCCCAAGCATTCTGCATATTACGGTCCACCCTTTCCTTTTGCTGCAACATCATCTTGTCTCTAGAAGCGAGCTCGTTCGCAAACCACCGTCGTCTCGCTCGGCTGGGACTCTAGCTAATAATAGGGCAGCTCTGACTTTCGTCTTCGCGCATGAGCTTACAGCGCGAGGACATGGACATCATCGAGAAGCTGGGGAGGCAGCTCGCATTTTACCGCGGAATAAAAGAGGGGATAAAAAGAGAATGCAAAAAAGAGGCACGTCTCGCCGACGTGCAAAGATATTCGTCCGCTGGTGGTGTTCGCATAAATTAAATCGGGCGACTCGAGTTTGCTCGCCGTTAGTTATCCGCGCGAATTAAATCGACGCAAATCGCTCGGTGTTGTTTATGTAGATTCACCGATAGGCTTTGCTTTCGTTATTATCCGTAGATTGTGTTATGTATCACGGTATTAGTTAAAATCGCGCGAACTGAACCGAGGTTCGATGAAACTTTAGTTATTTATATTCACGGCGTGAATCGATTCGATAATTTCTTCTTTCAAATTTACCTACTGTCATGATCTCTTCTCATCACAAAATATTGAATACGAAACACGAGATAATGGTAAGAAATAATGTTAAGTACAAGTTAGTACTGAGAATAAAGTTCTCGTTTTTACATCGGTCTCCATGATTTAAGTACAGAAAATGGCAGCAGTGTAATATCCGAGGAGAGCACTTTTCGAAAAGGACTTTAGCGGCTCATATTGTCGTACCTTACAATCGTCATTCGGTCGGAGCTAAAACGAAATGGTGAATGCCTTTAAATATGACATCACTAGCTTTTCTAATGGTTCAAAAGCAGGCTTATCACTCACGGGTGTACGCAACTATTTTGCAACCATCGCATTCACCTGGAAGATCCTTGCGCATTATGCAAAGTAGCGAGGTATATTCGAGCCGTATGCACATTTTCCAGGTTTCGAAATCTGCTTCCTCGATGAAGCGATTTGCTTCCAAGATCGCGTGCCCCACCCCATAGAGGAAAGCGGAGTCCGCGTCCGACATATTGGATAACGAGAGTTTCATTCAAAAGCAATTCTCTGGACACGGGATAGGGTATTGAAGCTGCTCACATGCAACGGGCTCTGCACACACAAGTGCACTGAACCTTCTGCGAGTAAGTACCTCCGTCGATATTTATACTATTTATCGCTGGGCAGACCCATAATAACGCGGAGATCCGGCCTTCCGAAATAGGAGGTCGGACGGGGATTTAGGTAGGTTGTATCTATTTCTACTTTGACTTTTAATCGACCTCACCACGTGCGGCCGTTTCAAAGGACTCGGCGGGTTCTCAAAAAAGATTTTATCGAGCCCTCGGGAAGAAAGAGGGTACTATTCCCAAATCTGCGGAGCAGCGGCCATGTCGTCTAATGAGCGAAATTCTTTTTCCTCAGGTCAGGGCTGTAACTCAGGTTGTGTGTTTAAAAACTGTGAGGCACTACGTGGCCATTTCCGGCATCGGCTATGGAGTCCCTAAGACCGGAACCAGTTTTGAAATAGATCGTTCGGGATCGAAATAATTTCCAGCAACTTCCGCTGCGGCATTTTCTTCGTGCTCGCTCGCGCTTTCGTTCATTGAATAACTAGTAACGGGCGCGAACCAATTGCACGCGAGATTACCTTGTTAACCCCTCTATGTTTCCTTTGTAGCCGAGATTGGAGTACTCGAAGAGTCAAAGGACCAAAATAAAAATGCTTTTTCAACATATGATGCCCAGATGAGGAAGCTCGAGACACGGACTTTGTTGATAAGGCCATTATCCACCCTTTTCCCCTGTTTTTCGGGAGGAAATTTGAAGGACGACTGAATAACAGTTTCTGAGGTAAACGTAAATCTCTGCGTCCTTATGCTGGAAGCGTATTACCCGCACATTTCCGTGAACCCGTAAATAGTAAATTTCATTCGCAGCACGTGCAATAACACAGTTACGGAAAACACGCACTGAATTATTTCCACCCTAGTCTCGGTAGAAACTAAATTTGGGATTTTTAACGGCAACTCAACTGAGTTTTCGGGCCGAAGAAAAATGGAGAACAAGACAGAGGAGGGCAACGCGAGATGAAATCCTTCCCTGATGAGCCGACAGGAAACAATCACGGGATGAAATACACGGGCGAATTTGTTCGTGTCAAATCCGTATAAAAACCGGTCGCATCTAAACAGCAATTGATGGGAGAATTACAAGGGACCAAATGACAAGGTCCCTTTGGGACCACCTACCGAACCGCTCTGCCCAGATTTTAACGAACTTCATGCTTGCTGGAAAGAGCCGTTCCCACGAAAGCACTAAACGCTCGATTTTCTTTAGCGAGTTTAGCCGAAGCTGCCTCTTTAAAGGGTTCCAGGCTGGCGCGAGGGCTGACTGTCGTGGATGGGGAGAAAAAAAGGAGAAACCGAGAGAAGCTCGACGACGAAAAGCAGCGCAGAGGGTATCCCTGAGTGGCGGCGAGTAACAGTGGGCAACAGTGAGTTCGAGAGCCTCTGGGGGTCCGAGAGGTTGTCGGCGATTTTCTTGGACCTCGTTGAGTCACCGCAGCTCACGGACCTCGGATAGGAGTCACCGCTAGTCCTCGCTAGTTACTACTACTACTCGTCGTTACTATACTACGGTCGATGGTGTTAGTGGATGCTGCTCCGTTGCTAGTCAAGCGCGTCTCTACCTCCGGGAAAGCCTTGCCGCATCCCACGTTGCAAGCCGCTCGTCAGTTTCTTTTCTCAACGAGAGATCTATTATAGACTTTGCATACATTAAAGACGGAGTTGAATGGTTTAATGTCGCAACTTTCGTCGTTTAATAGAAATCATAGAATTCAGGAACTGAAAGTAACTTGGGCATAAAATCCCCTACAAGGTGCAGTAAAAGTGTTGCTACATGGTGCAACTGTTATTATTCGCAAATTTATATACATGTTTGTTACCGGCAATGCGATAAATCGGGCATTGTGCGGAGTAACCGAGCAAAGGATAAAAGAACAGTCACTGCCCGAATTTAACACGTTGCCCATAGCGTATATAAAGGATATGTTAAATAACTTTTTATCCTTTAGATACCATTTGATCGTTGCATGATTTCCCGTAAAAAAAAAAATTAAGTTTGTAGGAATGTGCTAATAAAATGTACGTATGATCGAATTGTTTAAATTAGTAATTTACGATTGCTGCGCGAGTTGCCGAAAGAGAGGCTGGGCTGGATCTAAATTACTTCCCGACTGCAGTGATTGTTGCCACGGTGCATCCCGAAAGCTATGCAGCATCCCGAAAGCTATGTAGCATCCCGTGGCACGAGACAGGGTCGATGCTTGGGTACTCGGGCGTTCCATCGGTGCCCGTGAATTCTTGGCATTTCTCCTGCCGGCGGTCGTCCCTCTTAGAAATGTCTCCTAAATCGAGGTCTCGAAATATATTCGTATATGTGTACAAATATATATTTTACGTTTCTAATTTTGGGGAAGGTTTTAAATTATAAACCGCGTTTAATAATAGTCTCACGATAACTCATGATGGATTAAAAAACACGAAAGAATTACTATTTTTTCTTTTATTTATGGGAAACCAAAGAAGGTCGCAATTACTGTACTTAGAAAAAATTAATCCGACCGTCCCAGAGATTTCCCTTTCCTCAGGGTTAACCATTACGATGTTCATCTCTCCAAGGTCCACTTTAACCAGGCTATAAATTTTACCTACGGTTATTTGTTTATGGCACAGTTGAGGAGTGCCAACGCTGGCGCGAAAACATATCCTGCGATTCTATTATGGGAGTGTTGTATAAATATTGCGGATTAATACGAAATAGTACAGCTGTTTGGCCCCTCGAATTCCTAGGCTAACGCTCCGATGTTAATTTAATTTATTCATTGCGAGAAATCACGTAGTTTGATGAAAAATCGAGGGAACGATGAAAAACTATAACTTGACACAACTCTAAAACTGCCCTAATTAACGGATGTTATCGCAAATACACAGACACGTCATAACTCATTGTCGACCGGCAATATATAATCTTCGACGGAAGTGCCGTTGAATCATGTGGAGGTTACGCAAGGATCGAGAGGGAATAATGTGTACGACGTCTCAGAGGTTAGTCAAAGCTAAAGTGCTTCTGGTTTACCGTGTCAAGAGTTCGAGTGTTCTTCATTCACGAATATTGTGTCATCCTGATAAGCGACGCGCGTGACTGCTTCTTAGAAAAAATATTTCAAATACCTCGTTGTATTTGAACTAGGTGGGCGAATCTTCAAAAGATTGCAGTACCTACTAAAGCCTAAAACGATCTAAAACTATTCACAACAAAGTATAACATTTATCTCCATCTCCTGAATAATGATTATTTCGTGCCTTAGTAGACCACATTAAATGAATGAAAAAATTTCTCTTATCAATATTTAGCATCAGGGCGTGAAAATTCGAGCCTCCTCACGTGTACCCGGTATAATAAATAAGAATCAGAACAAAGTGTTTTCCTTTAGCGACGAAGAATTGTTCACGAAATCGCAAACAAGCTTGGTAACATCCACTGGGTAATAAAATGTATGTCGCCGCAATGTCGAGTATATCGCTTGTCAGTCATGAAGATCCCTGGAAGATCATTAGACGCGCGGTGCGCGGGAAATTAAACGGCCATGTAAGAAAGAATTCTCAGGAAAGCGGCCTACGATTACGAAAAGAACGTTCCGCGAACTAATCGTGCAAACGGAAATGGAAGTGAACGTTCCTAATCACTTTTCATTGCAGGTTGCAGCGTTCGATCAACGCGGAGCGTTGCATCGAGCATGCGTCGAGCCATTAGGCGCACCCGGAGCCAATGAAAGTGCAGATAAAGTGCGTTATAAAAGACCCTAGGAAGTCCGAGCCGAAGAAAGCAGGGAACCAAAAACGCTCGCTAATGATCCGCGCAAGAAAGTGGAACGTATCGGCGCCGATGATTCCGCGGCGTGTACAATGCAAATTAAAATCAATTTAATCCGATGCAGTCCGCCCGATAAGGATTATTAACTAAGTTCCGGCTAGTGTGCACGGTTTAATTAAATGCAAGTCGCCATGCCGACACTTCATTGTATACCTATGAAGGTGGAAGTCCGGAATGCCCGCGAGAAGCGGCGAGGAATTTTCTCGGGCTACTAATCGCGAGAAGCGTTGACTTTTTTACTTCTGCTGACTCAGGGATGTCTAAACGATACTCTCAGTCTACTTCCTGCGATGTTGGGAAAAGAACCGAGTGATTTGTCCAACTCTTACTCGGTTATGCTGGAAAAATGTAGTCTCATTCTTGGGGAAATAAGTAATCCTGCCGATCACTGTAAAACGAAATTCAAAGGCTGCTCTTGTACCATCATAAACCTCTAATTGTAAGAATAAGATAGCAGGTCAATTTACTGTAGTAACCGTTATGTATTTTACTTATTTTTACGACAGGTAATGCGTTACATCGAGGATGATCACTTAACGAACAACTCCATATTCAAAGCAAATTAAGTCGTGCCCTGTTTTAGTGGTTAATCGTTCGCAGATATTCGACAAAGATTCCATTGGAGGTATTATCGCAATACGATTGTAATATTATCCATGCCATTCATATCGTACCGTGAACTTGATTCATCCATTGTGTGAAATCTGGAGTCCTCATGTATGGTGGTGCCGACCTCGCGATTATGGTAACTAAGCCGGTTGCAGCAACCACGATATACAGTCAACGCAATTTCAATGAAAGACAGCCATAATCACACGGCCGGTCTCTTGGCAGAAATAACAATTTTCCATCTCCGTTTAATCCTTCTTTAACTTCCACAGACCAGAAGTAGCACGCCAATCCACTCCGCGAGTCGTCCACGTGTCTCACCTTACACCAGATCTTGGCGCACTTTCGTCACCTGATAAATCACGTGCAATCTACGTGAAGCCAGACGTAAAGCACCCAGTTCCGAGTTTGGCCGTCCTGGTTTTGCGATAAGGCCACTTCTCGATTCGAAACTCGTGAAAATAAGGCTCACGTAATACCGACACGTGCCGTTTCGGAATTAAATGCCTCGCGTCGTCACCTCTTGTTACGAGAACATTTCTTTCAAATTAATTTCCAACCCAATTGGACATATAATGTCCCGAAATTAGAGGAAAAGTCGAGCGGTTACGCGCAGATTATTCACTCGGGATGTCGCTTAAGTGTCAAATGGGACACCACGTGGTTCTTAATGGTTCCGCGACAATTCAAGCGAAGCCACTTTCCGTTTTATTCCGAGTGAATCCAAGTGACTTGTTAACGGCATTCTGAGAATGTGATTTATATTACGCCGAAGCCACATAGAGCCATATCGTAGAAATTCAAAACAACTACGGAACAATTCCCGTGGACACGATAAAGATCAAGGAACTCGGTAGAGTTTCGAGCCGGATGCATTTGAGCGATTAGACTACAGTTAATTATCATCCGAGATTAATGGAATTCTTCAGCGAGGTGAAATAACGTACCCAAATGAAAAATTGCGAAATTAATTTTACACATTAATACACATTCTTTTACATCATTATCAAAACAAAAGGCTTTTATTTCCTGTCACCAAAACACCACACTATATTTAAAGCACCTAAAGCCACTCGTCAAAGAGCAATTTCTTCTCTCTTAGCCCAAACGAATTACTTCGAATCAAACCAGATCAATAAAATAATCCGATTAATCCGTCCGCTGAAGTGCCCAAATAACCCCTCGACTCGTTCCTCGCATACCCAAGAAAAGATCAAATTAGGCAATAATTCAGTACCGAAAGAAAATCAATGAAATCAATCCCTCAGGGAATGCGGCTACTCTCCCTCTCCGATCTCTCCGGCACATCGGCACACTCGAAGCGATCACTCGCGTACTCGCTTAAACCGCGATCGATCGGTTCCGGCACTTTAGTCGTTTTCGAGTTCGTGGATTCCAACCTCGTACCCACGGCTATCGAATTCGACAGAGGTTTCGCTGGCGAATTTCGATAACGGCCAACCCGGATGGCCGATAACGCGAGGGTTCCCGTGGGATGAGCGACCGCGAGATCCACACTTCGTGGAACCCGAGCGCTGCGAGAGCGAGCTTCTCGACGGGAACGCAACAGGTACTACTGACCGCGACGGTGGAACTCGGTGGAACTCGGCGGTACCCTAGAACGGAATAGAGTGTGCCCCTCTCAAGCCTCTATCGGAATGCCGAGGAGGGTAGAGCGCCGATGGCGGGGCTCGTAAGCGCGCGTCCACACCGCCGCGACGCGCGACTTCAAGGAGGTAATCAATATATCCAAGTATTTTTCTACCCCCTGATATCAACAATAAAAGTGAAGACGGATTTTAGATAAACCGATTTGCAGTTCTGCAAGAATGACTCCGATAAGAAATAAAGGGTCCTCAACGCCGGGAATTTAAAGTCGAAGACGCGTCCGCCTCCGGAGGCTGCTCGCGGCACCAGAAAGAGAAGTATCCTTGAAGAGAGAAATCGATTACGTAGCCTGTGGCATTTGTCCGCCGGTACGGAAGGCTTGAACAAGGCATCGAGCAAAATGTGATATTAAATCCCGCGTTATAATTCAGCATTTCTTAGGCTCCGTTAAATGACGTACCTGTATTATATTTTGCAGTAAGACCAAATATTTGCGGTATTCACTGACTGGAAGATAGCTCGACTCGTAATGTACCTTGTCATATTTTGTAGCTTAACGTAGCTATGGGTGACCGATGGTATTTGCTCCGTCTCGAATTGGAACACCGTGCTCGTCGAAAACGAAACGCTCAAGGAGAGGGACAGGTTCTCTCGGTATGAACGGAGCCTTAGCGGAGCAGGAGAGGGGGGGCTCAATCATCGCAATGAATTACAACGAACCAGTCACTGAGAGTGACTCACCGGCTTGCACCGTACGTCACACCGACCGGTCGTTTCTCGAGGGAACCCGGCAAAAAAAGAGCGGGACGAATTTCGGAAAATCGCCACCACCTCCGAGCAACGTTCCTTGGCTACCGTCAAGAATTTGCATCGTCGAGAATTTCGAACGTATAGGTGAAACATCTCCCGTGAGAAAAACTTCCCGCGTTCCGAACCCCATTAGAGGATTCGACTCGAAGGAAGGTTTCGCCTGCACCGATAAAAATTAATTACTTCACTCGAGGTACGTTTTTCATTCCTTTTTCTCGGGGACTCGAGTCTTTTCTTCTCGGCGTCTCGTTAGAGCGCGGAAAGGAGAGCACCGAGGGCACGAGAGGAGGAATAAAAGACGCGGAGACACCTCTCGTGTGAAAGGAAGGCCCCTCAGGGAGTCATCGCAGCGTCTTTTGAAATCCCTTTAATGACGCATTAAGAAATAACGCGCTTAAGGGAACGGCCGGGCCATATTAGGCCGAGACGCGTGCATTCCTCGACGAGGACTATTAGGGCAGGCTGGACAGGAGAGGCTCCGTCGAACCGTTCATATCTGAAAAGGCTTTCGGCCATTTACCGTACGGTTGTTCCTGGAAACTGGGACTTTTGACCCTGGCCTCGAAAGGGTGTCCTCGGAAGGAGTAGCCATTTTCCACTTTACGAGTAACGTTACGGTCTACGTGCTTGGGGGGGGGGGAAGGAAAATTTAAAAACCATGAGATTTTCAGACTCAATTCCCAAGAGATTTAAAGTCTACCAAATTCGCAGATCATTAAACCATTACCATGTCCGAACGTAGATCCACGTGCGATGCCCGAAGACATCCATATAACGAAGACATTTGCCATATCAGGGAGAATAAATTGCGCCACTTAGAAACTCGGAATACCGGAGATTATTAACCCAGTCCATGAAAAATGTCCTCCCATTTCCATAAAGATTCATCAACGACTCCCCTTCCCTCCCAGACCCGACTCCGAATCAATTCACCGGATCGAAGAAGCACAAATCAATCGAGCTGCAGATTATTAAGCTCATGAATCCATTTCGCGCATTCTGCACCTCCCGGGCATTCATTTCGACGGTTGCAAATTGGAACTCGTGGAATGGCCGATCGCATCGATGAAGAGAAGAAGGAGCAAGGCAGAAACGAAAACAACTGCGCTCTCCTTTCGCGCAACGCGAGGTGACGTAAGAAAAATGGCGAGAGGTTCCGCGGCCCCGTGGCCATGTAAAACAGTTTAGTCGAGCCATCGCCGAGTGCAACGACTCACTCTCGCACAGAAGGAAAGTGCACCCGGGCGGTGTTCTTGCCATCTTAAAATTTATTGCGAACACATGCGCGTCGTGCGAGGAGGCCCAGAAGAGCGCGAGATCCCGCCATGGATATTCCCTCCTCTACTGGCAAGGACCGATCGCGAGGTATCGGTGAAACTTGTACCCTGAATTCAAACTCACTCGGCATTCCTCGTACCGAGTATGACCTCCCGCGAATCGCTTCCTCGTTAAATCCTTTCATCGTCGACCATGAGGCCTTAAATACCGTTCCCACGTTAACTAACGTTATTTGCATATGAACGACCTCTTAATAAAATATCCACCGGGCGCGAGATGCTTTCTCCGCGAGAGAGCACCGCCGTGTAACGAGAGTGCATGTAAATTTCCCTGGGAAGACGTTACGAGGCCCGCGCAATGCGAGCAAATGAAATTTATGCCCCGCGAGGTCGCGCTTTCGTAAGACACTCCGAAACCGAGGCCTGTCACTGCGGTTTTCTTGTAGGGCCGGTGAAAAGGGTAAATTGGGGAAGAGCGATGATGGATTTGCGAGGAGACCGAGGAGAGACGTTCGCTGACCCTCGGAGAAAAGAGAAATGCCGTGTGCCGAATATTGAATACCATAAATCCTAACTACTCGCTACGTTTAAATCAACTGGCATAAAATATTCCTCGTGGTCTTGCATAGGTCCATTGACCACAGGAATCGATATTATAAGCTGTTATTATAATCGCTATTATTCTTTAAATTCAAACGTTCAAGGATTACGGAAGGTTTACGGGATATTTGAAAATGCTCATAAAACGCGTCTAGGAAGAAATGATTGGAACGAAATTTGATCAATTATGGACACACAAGCGATATATCTCAACACTTTTATCCACAACCCTTAACGATTAATTTTTTATTTCGGCTTCGGGAAATATTGCTCCCGGTCGGGCGTACCTCTTTCCGGCCATCATTGTATGTTGTAGTCGCCCCGTGCATTAAAATTCTCATAAACGTACGGAATGGTTTGAAATGCTCGTAAACCTCTTTAACCCCTTCCAAGAAGTTAACGAGGAGGCGCGACAGTTGTTCGCGTGCAAGGTGTGTTATCCCTCTCTCTCTTTCTCAACATGCGGCGCGAAATCACCGAAATTGCCACGTTTCGCAGGGACCAGCTGTGAAGACACGTCGACGATCCCGAAATAAAAAGAAAACTACCCAAAGGCGGCATTTTAACGGGCCTGGTCGTCCCGCCAAGAGGATTAGCGCAATTTCGCAGATTCCGTTATCATCTGCACGGTTGCAACTGACCGAGGGTACATAGTCATTATCGAAGAGTTCCTTTAATAACGTTTCTTTAATCTCTGTCTTTTTTCGATATCGTTTCCCTCTATGAATCGTAACTACATTGTGAAACCTAACACGATTGTTCAATAATCAGTGCCGACTGAAAAATCCTCACCTTATTAATTACTAGAGATCACTACTGGGAGAATTTGGCTCGTACCCATGTCTTCCTTCTAGGGTTAAAAGTCGTGTTATTTGTTATTTAATAATTACAGATAAAAGGCGTCCCGTAATGTCAAAAGTGAGATATGAGTACTTGCCCTTGATAGTTATCTACACGTGATAAAATGACGATTTCAAATACTCATAGAAAAATGATGTTTGAGTTCATTTGGGCTTTTTAAAATTATTCATGAACGAAGGACACTCTTTTTTCAATGAAATCTCCAGTAAATCTGTGACCTAGGTATGAATGAATGATAAATTAAGCCTTCACGAGAGATCCAAGATGAATGTCCTGGGAAACAATGACCTTGCAGGTTTGTATTTGACAAGAGCGCAAACTGGATCGGGAAAAGAAGAAATCGAGAAAGAAGCTGTCCTCCCTCTTAATTTCTGTTGCCTGATATCAGGTATCTCCGGTAACTTTCTCGTCGAGCCCTGGAAACGCACGTGCGTGTGCACACCCTCGATACACGCGTGTACCTCTCTTCTGGTCCTATATATAGGCATCCGGACGAGTGCGCTCGTATAAACATACTCAGGTAATTCCGACTGGTTTGCAGTTTGCAGTCCGAGAATAATTATATACTCTAAGGCCGGGTGCAGCCGGGGAACAAGTGTGGCACGCTCGTTACTATTACCGTACCGAAGATCGGAAATTCGATGGGCAATTTACGAGCCATTTCCCCGCGATTTTAGGACAATTCCGTGGTGAGATCTATTGCTCCAAAACGAGGTAGATTCCTGCACGCTTAATTAGTCCGCTCAAAAATTTGCCACAAATTGCACTAATTGAAAGTACTAGACTAACTGCTCAGTAGGGTCGAGTTATCTCTGCCCAGATGGTAATTTGTATAACCAAAAAAAAATTGTTCACCAGGCCGAAGAACGGTATCCATTTAGATTTAACATTTATTTACCACGTTTTAAGGAATAAATTATCGTCCCTATAAAAAGGAGATTAAAACGGGACCAATAATTTTTCCGGTAAAAGAGGCACGGAGGAGTCGGTGCATCGATGACAGTACAAGATCGGCAAGATATACTGCCCCATTAAAAACATCGAAAGTATCCGTTCACAATGTCAAAATCAACTTTCACGCACCGCAGGAATTACTTAAGATTTATTTATATTTTATCCCTGATCGTGCTCGCTTTTCCCCCAAATGGGGATCAAAGATTTGCCGAGATCTGCCCCGTTTTGGTTTTGGTACTTGCCGTGGTGGTATAAATGAGTATCCAGAAAGAGATCCACCGAAAAGGAATATTATCACTTGCGGTGAACCGGTGTCGCAGTTTGGATAAGAGGAACATTTAATTTCGCGACACGTGAGATTCTACCAACCTCGGGAGCTCTGGTTCTTTTAACAAGTACGCGGCAGGTCGTAA